AATTAACGGTTAATTAACGGTTAATTAACGGTTAATTAACCGGTTAATTAACCAAATCTTAATTAACCGTTAATTTCTCATCCCTATTTATTGTAGACTGAGGGGTTCAGGTTTTTTAATCTAAACCTCGTAACTTAATTTAAAAATTCTATATTAATACATAATTTACATATTCTTATATTTACAATAATAATCATAATAAACTTTTTTAACTTTATTCTTATCTTTATGTTGCAATAAAAATTTTAAATCAAAGTTTTTTCATACTATTTATATAGTAAAATTTTTTTGTATTACTAAAATTATGTCTGAAGTCTAGACTTCTATTCAAATCTATGAACCTTAAATTAATGACATATTTAAGAATCATGATGAGTTTATTAATAAAATCAAAGATTATGCATATAAATTTGGTTTTATTATTGTATATAAGGCTTTTAGACTGCTCTGAAAATCAGTTCACTATTGTCCTAGAGTGGACATAAATGTCCATTTACTCATCTCTAAAATAACAGTGAACTGATTTTCTGAGCAGTCTAAAAGTCTTACACACAAATTTTAAAAAATTTCTAAAGAAAAAAAAAATTATCATAGAAAAAAAATTTAAAAAAGAATTTTCTTATGTTTTGAGCTGATTATTCTAAGCTAAAAGAAAATGATTCAAAAGATAAAATTTAATTAATAAAAAAACAAAATTAAAAATCTTAATGGTATGGTTATTTTTTTTATATTTGTGCTTCTTTTAATAATTTTAATAGTTTATGATATATAATTAATATGAAAATTATTCATAACCATCAAATAGTTAATGAAAATTATTGATTTTTATATTTAATGAACAGAGTATTTCTGATGATATTAAATAATAAATTGAATTATTACGTTATACTAATATAGATATTTTTAATATACATGTAATTTTAAAAGAAGAGTTTAGTGATTATGTTTATATAGTGTCACTGTGGAATTCTTCAACTCGAGGGGTTACGTTATCAAATCTCTACTTGAAATTTTTAACTACAGCTTACTGCAATCAAGACATTAGGATTCACTTAACTCTTAACTTTACCAAATTTACGCGTTAGACTTAAACAAATCTATCAAGTATGAAGACTTAAAAAATGAGATTATAAACAATTTTAATTAAAGAATTCAGATGATGAACTCAATTACAAATAATGTGTAGAGATCACGTTAGATTATATGAAGATACAAAGAGGCAGAAAGATATAAGTTTTAATTGATTTTTTTATTATATTGAAACTCGTATTCGCAAAAAAGTTAATTTACAACATAAGCAAAAAGTCTATCTATTTATACAAAATTTTTTTTGTCACAGCTAACTAATTACTATACTATAACTAACTAATTTAGCAAAATAAAATATAAGTAAAATAAATATATTAAGAATGATAAAAATATGTAAAACAATAAAAATATAAGATAAAATAAAAATAACAATAAAACTCAGAATATTAAAAATATGTATAATGCTAAATATTCTTAGATTTCATTTAATTTGTAAAATTAGGATTATCATTAGTGTTTGAAAAATCTTTAGAATTATATAGATCCTCTGTATTTTCAAAATTCTAGATTAAAAGATCATCATACTGCATCATCTATATGATTTCATTATGATTGGTCAATTGCTTCGTTAACAATAGGTAAATAATGATATTTATAATTTTATATATCAATTAGAAGGTTCTAATTTAGAAAAAAAATTTGATGCTGAAGAATTTATAAAAATATTAGAATAACTTAAATATAATAATACAGAATAGCCAATTATAACTAAATAATATAATTATATTATTCAGTCATAATCAGCTTAGACTAGATTATTTAATAATAAAATAATTTAGATATAATTAAATAATCTAAGTATAACTAAATAATCTAAAAATAACTAAATAATCTAAGTATAACTAAATAATTTAAGTATAACCAAATAATCTAAAATTAATAATCTAAATGATTAAATAATCTAATTAAATAATTTAAATAAGACATTTTTTATACTATCTTATTTTCCTATTATATTCTTTGCCTTTGAAATTACTTTTCTTTACCTTTTTCCTATTATTATTTATGGTCATATAATTAAATAACCTAAATATGACTATTATTAATATGTAATCCTGTTGAATTGTGACTATTAGATAAGGTATTTGAGTTGTAATTCTTTTAAAGTTTATGTAGTAATCTAATATAGTTTTAACTTAAGCTTTACAATTTACACATTGATATACACTTGACAATACTAAAAGTAAGACAATTCAATTGAGTCAAGATTATAATAATATATTTATTAATAATAAGTAAGAAAAGAAATAAAAAATAAAAAATAAGAAAACTAAAAGACTAAATGTGAAGGTTAGGTCAGGTGCTTTTAAAGAACTATTAAATGTATATCTAAAAGTAAACTAAAAAAAACTAAAAGTAAACTAAAAGCGAACAAAAGTTTACATGATTTTATCATTCTTTATTTATATAAAATTAACTATATAAATAGATATAACAAATAAATCAAATATATCAAATATATCAAATATATCTAATATATTCTACTTGTCTAATATATTAGTTATATCAGATATATTAAATATATCTGACATGTTTGACATTTAATTCGTAGTTTGTGTAATAAGTAGAGATCTGCAATTAGTAAAATTTGGTAAAGATCAACTATATAATCATATAAATTGAAAATTTTTCGAAAGATCTATACAGTATTTTTACATTAAAATATAAAAAAAAAATTTAGAAATTAATAGCCAATTAATACAAATCTTTATTTGTAAAAAAAATTTTTAACGCAACTTATTTTTTAAGAGCTTTATATATAAAATGTGTGGATTTCAGTGCGAAATTTATTATAACTGAATATATGATTTCTAAATAATACCTACTTGAGCTTGAGATTTTATTACTGAAAATTACCACTGGTAGTTAATGCTTTTTCTGCTGCTTTCGCCTTTATATGCGCTGAATATCTTGAGATCCACACTCTAATTGTATTAACTTTCTGTGGTATTTTTTCTTTTACCAAATGTCCCATTTCTGCAGCCATATGTAATTCTCTTATTATATCTTCAGCTGATAAATGTGACTTACCAGGTATATTTCCGCTGTGGAAATAACCTTTCAATAACTCAACAACTTCCTTTGAAATTCTTTTATCACCACCTTTTTTACCAAACTTTTGTTTTTCACGTAATGCTCAACCACTTTCTAATCAGAACATACAATTTCTATTAAAAAAGGTAATTATTTGTTTTATTAATTTAAAATCAAACAAAATATATTACTCATTAGTTAAAAAACTCAATTCTAACCTACTATCTTCATTTAGCTACTGTGAAGTCATATCTATTACTTCAAAAGGAAGTTTATATTGCTGGGTAGCGTCTGTATTATCTGTAAAAATTGTCAATAATTTATTTCAAAAAAAATTTGGTATGTGAAACTTTTTTT